GTAATGCCTACCTATACCACTCAAACATTATTGTAAATTATTTATGGCAAGTTAATTTTATTAAGTAACAATTTCTAATATGTAGGCAGTCTGAAATGGCAACAAAAAGGGATGGAGATAGATTCTAGGCTGACGAAAGTCACTAAAATCTGTAAGCATAGTTACAGATTTGCTCTCTGATTTCCAATTCTTGTTTGAATGACTAGATCAGAAATAAAATGTATTAATGCAAATAGGCACAATAAAGTAAAATAATTCATGTGACAGCTTAACAAGCATAACTCATGACAAAACAGTAATTTAGAAAGTTATTTTCCATAAACTTTTCTGAAAATCAAAAATACTTGTTTACTGTCACTTAGCAGTCATTGGTCCATTGATTGTTCCTCCTGAATCAAAGTGATCCTGAATGAGTGATCTTTTTCCCAATGCCATTTTGTTCTGACCATGTTTACCATCTAAACATCTGACCATGTTCTAAATTCCCTGGGTATCATGTTTCCTAAATCCCCCTATGCTATTGAACAGCATGTGATCTGCAGCTGCCCCACCTTTCTCTGATATTTATGACTCAGCTCCCCCAACCTCCCAGAAACCAAACTCTCTGGACCTCCCAAAGCTGTATTAAAGAAGCTCAATCCTATTCTTTGAATTCCTAGCAACAACATCTTTTGGCCTCTATTTATGGCTTTTAGGAAATGTTTATTCCTTCCTTTAAAACAGAATGTTTCCTTAATGGAATCTGTCTTTTCTGCCTCACGAATTTCTTAAAGAATCACATACCCAGTTCATGAATTCCTAGGAAATCAAATTACCGTCACAGAACATGTCGACAATCTTGAAAATAAAAAATGTTATTATGTCTTCTAAGTCACTCTGCACTCGCATCATGTTCAAGAATTAATCGTAATTTTCAGAATCACATTTTCTCTTATTCTTAAATCATCACTAATGCACTTCCTCCTCATGTTTAAGTTCTATTTTATTTGTATGTCGTTGTACAATATACTAAAACTTTGCTTACACTTTATTGTTTCGTGTCAGTGAATCACCAATATGCATTAAGAGCAATGAGGAAATATCAAGGAGATAGAAGACACAATTGTCACCACGACAGGATTTATAATCAAGCTAAGAGAATAAACACATATGAAATAACACCCAATCAGACTTGAAGAATTCTGCAAACAAAATTCATTAATGTCTCTTTTTCTCATTTATTTCTTATAACTACCTTGTAATATAGCTAAGGCAGGCACTTCTCCTTTTTTTTTTTTTTTTTTACCATATGGAAACTAAGAGCCAGAGTAATCATTCCAAATTTTCACAACAAAACATGTCCTACACAAGGCACAGGTCTCCAGATCATTCAAAAATTGCTATCATGTTTATAAACAAATACAACACAAAAAATAATTTTAACTATATTAATGTGCATGGATGTACATGAATGAAGATGAAATACAGTGAAAATATTAATTAGAGTGGCTTGGGAATGATGCAGGTAAGCTTCCAGAAAGAAGTATGTTCCAGAAAGTGGGACATCATATTATATGTAATAAGGAGCCAGTATCTACAGGAACTGGACTAGATAGGTCAATAATGTATAAAATTGGTGTACAAAGAAACTGATAAACATGAATAAATCTAACTAAGTACTGACAACTAAATAAAATATATAAAAATTTAAAGGGCAAATAAAAAACAAGGCAAAACCAAAATAAAAGACAATAATAATTTGAAAAATAGAAGGCAAACAGAGATCCTTGAATTATTTAGAGGAAAGGTAAAGATTCTTATAAATTTCTGGGATTAGTTAAGTCAAACTCTGATGATAATAAAAATGTAAGAGTAATCAATTAACAGGAAAACTTCCACACAGTGGAAGAAATCCAAGAGATTAAAGAAAAGTTCAATCAATCCAAAACATGGAAGAATAGTAAAAAAAAAAAAAAAAGAAAGAAAAAAACAGAGAAAAACAAAAAAGCATTTAAAAGTAGAAAATAGGATGCTCTATGTAAATCTAAATATAATCACAATAAATGTAAATAGGTTAAACTCACTTGTTAAATAGACTCCCAGAATCTATATACTACTTATAAAATATACAGTTAGAATATAATAACCTAGGATGATGAAAGGAAAAGGAAAAAAATATACAGACCAAATACATATCAACTGTGCAAAAGCTAATCTAGCTGTATTCATATCAAGCAAGCTATACCTTAAGCAAGAAAAGTATTATTAGAGACAAAGAAAGAAAATAATATTGAAGAAATCTCCCAGAAAGTGTTTCAAAAAGATAAAAATTGGAAAATAGAAGCAAAAACAAAAAAAGGAAATTAAATGACTAGTCTTGTAGGCACAGTATCTTAATAAAAAGACTTCCAGAGAAAGAGAAAATGTAGGTAAAGGGAAGGGGTGAAGAAAATAATCATAAGAAAAAATCAAGATAGAAGTTATGCTATTCCAGATGGAAAGAGGCCATCCAGTCAATACCCATCAAAATTGATGAAAAAAAATACACACACACACACACACACACACACACACACACACACACACACACGGAACCAAAAAAACCAGAATTTATTTATAAAAGATTGTGTATTTATTCTTACATGATTAAACTTCAGTCACCTCCAAAGTACTCTTCATTTGATGCAATACACCTATTGAGAAACTTTTTCCACTGCTCAAAACAGTTTGTGAACTCATCAATTTTGATGCCTTTTAGTGCTTCTGCCATTTTTTGTTTCACCTCTTCCACACAGCAAAACATTTCCCTTTGAGAATTTTTTTCATCCAGGGGGAAAAATGTCACTCGGGATGAGGTCAGGTGAATAGGGAGGGTGGGGCATGGAAATCATGCCATTTTTGGTCAAAAACTGCTGCACACTCAGTGTAGTATGGGCAGGTGTGCTCATAAATTGCCCACCGTGAAATGGGCAAACGCATTAAAAGAATCTCAAAAATACATTGAAAGAATCTCAAAAACAAATTCACTGAAGCCGAATGCAGCCTCTTATAACAATGCTAGCTAGTACACTGATGCCAATGGGTTCCTAAAACATTTACCTAGTAGGGGAAGCCTGTACTGAAAGGGGCCTGCACCCCCCAAAATAATTTCTTTTGGGGGGGCCCCCTCATATATATACATATATAAATATATTACATATATACATATATGTATGTATATTATATATAATTAGGTAATCTAATATACATAATTATATATGTAATATACATATATGTATGTATATTACACATATAATTATATCTGGTTATAAATGCATTTACTATTACATATATTTACTGCATTTTCTTTTCTATTAATTAAGCTGATATTTTGATTACTTTTTTTAATTGACAGAAATACTTGTATGCATTTACCACAAACAAAACATTGTTTGGAAGTATATACATGTAGCGAAATGACTAAATCTACCTAATTAAGTTGTACATTATCTCACACAGTTATCATTTTTGTGGTTGAAAACACTTTACATTCACTGTCTTAGCATTTTCCAGAATACAATATATGTATTGTTAATTATAGTCACCATGTAGTATACTAGATCTCTTGAACTTATTCATCCTGTGTCTAACTGAAATCTTGTACCCTTTGATCATTTTCTCAACCACCCAGCCCCTGGTAACCACCATTCTACCCTCTACTTCTATGAAGTCAGCTTTTTTAGACTCCACATGTGAGCAATTATTTATATTAAAATATTTATGCCTATGTTCTAAATAACCAAAATCTTAACGTATTTATGTAATAATTCATGTAGCATATGAAATATAAATGCACTTATTGCCCATTTATCATATGACTAGCATTTTAAAAATTAATTCCTTTTACTCCTCTCCAGAGCATAAATTTGAAAGAAATAAACATACCTCTAAAGGCTTAATATACATGAAATCTAAAATTAGAAAATGAGTTACTATGATTTGGTTTTTCCATAATTTTTAAAATAACAATTATATATACAGTATCAAAATACAATGTCTATACTGAACTGTTGGGGAATAATGTCTTTAATACTATTAGATCTGATTGAATGTAGACATTTTATGGAAAAAGTCACTAAAGAAACGTTTCAATCTATTTCCCAACACATATACAGCAACAACAACAACAACAACATAGTAGAGAATTTTCCATCTGAGCAGACTAGAGTCTTTAGGAAAATTAAGTTACTATCATTATCATTATGAACACATTTTAATAATAGATACATCCTATATTGACTCATTTATATATTTTTTGCTGAAATTATTGGTTCCTTCCAATTTGCCTGCTATAACAACTTGAAAATAATTCATTCTTAAGTTAGAGGCTTATATACTGTGGATGAAGTGGTCTTCTAAGATACAACACATTTTAATTACTTCTAGTTGCACAGATAGCTTTGAAGGAGCAGAACCTTAAATCAGATCAGACATCAGAAATCATCCAAAATAGTTTCTATTCACAATTATACTCAGAAATTTTTTAAAGCAAATATTTATAAGGAAGAAGCCAAAGTGGTAAAAATTCAAAAACTGCTCTCTCATGAAAGTTTCCTTATCTCTATATTAACTCTAGCACTGTTACTTATGTATCTGAAGAAAAGAAGTCAAAAAGATCTATAGATGCATAGAGATTTAAAATCCCACAGCTTTTAAAAGAAAATGCACCTACTTCATATCTTTCCATCAGTTATGTAATTTGTAAACAGTATTTGATTCCAAATGCTGCTGCTTTTCTTGTCTTCCACATCCCCCAACCACAACCTCAACCACACTCTTTTCCTTGTAATTAGCATTTTCAACCAAAAATCAAGGGGGAAAATGGATGAAAATTAAGATAATCAAATATAATAACTTATGGCAAGGATTTAATAGCATGAAGTTTGAAAAGGGTGACTAAAAACAAGTTTGGATTATCTGTGGAAATTTGTTTATCTGATGTTTTCAAAACACATGATCCATAGTACTCAAAAAAGACTTACCTCATCTACATTTTCAAAGGCATTGATGATGTCATAAGGTAAACAAGATAGCAGATCGATCACAAACCAAGTTTTCAGATAGTTCATCCTTATGAGCTTGGGGTCAGAAATGACCTCTCCACCAGGTCCCACAAAAGTTGTATGAAAATTTAAAACGATGTCAACCAGAAAAATAACGTCCACCACACTGTCCAGTACCAGCCAGGCTATGTTGTTCTGCTTTGTCTTGAAGGAAACATTATAAGGAACCATAATGGCGGTGTAAAAGGTAAGAATTAAAATCAACCAATCCCAAGTAGTTTTAAAAGCACAATAGTGTAAAATAATGTGTGGTGGCGTCTTTGGCGCTTCTTGTTTATACTGAGGGAGGATATCTGATCCCAGCTGAAGAACCTAAAAGAGAAAAAATATATATATATAAATGAAAAGGACATTTCTGCAGTCAGTGATGAATTCAAACTTACTGGCAATCAAACCACAGCCTGTTTATCATGACTCTTGATTTCAAGGCTAGCCACACTCCATAGTTTCACCTCCCTCTTCTCCTGAGTTGTCCTAAAGTTTGTTCAAAGAAATTCACTCCAAGTCCAATTGCTCTACCAAAGTTGATCTGCCTGCTGTTCTATCTGGCTTGCTCTGCTGCAGTGACCAACACTGATCCACAATACTGCTAATATCCACTTTCTGAGAGTGTCTCCTGCCCATTCACTCTGCAAGCCTATCTAGAATCATAGGTTTTTCATGGGTTGTCCAACCGTTATATGGGTGAGTCATTGTTATCCAACCTTCACTCATATTTATCATCTCAGTAAACATAACTTTGGTCCTGACAGCCTCACTGGACCCCAGCATCCCACTGTCTGTGACCTTGTTGTTGAGTGAATCTCCCCAAGGGCTCTGATGACTGACACAGCAATATCAAGGGCTGTAAATGTTTTAGCCTGTTTTTTTCTTTTCTCCCTTAAAGAATATTATAGTTCTTGCCCAGGTGCAAATTGCCTTTAGTGAAAAAATTCCATATACTCAGTTTTGTTTAAGTATACCTTTTTGACAAATGGAAAAATTTCAGTATAAGGTTATGTGAACCCTAACATACTCTGACAAGGTCTAACTACAGTACAAGACAAAGAGAAAAAGATGATAGAGCAAGAGTAGAGGTATGGTCACCTTTGGGCAAAGGTAACAAACATAGAACTTTGCATCACCTTCTGGAACCCAGGGATTCAGAAAAGGAATTGAAGGAGCAGACCAAAAACCCTGCCCCATGCCATCAGTGAAGCTAGACAGTGTATGTGTTACAGAACTCGGTAAATGAGAATTTCTTAAATAATGTTTTCAACAGTTTTGTCCATCTTATGCAACCAATTATTAGGTGTCTCTAGAACTAAAGGGACCCAGGAGGTAGGAGTCAAAAAGTTCAAATCATAAAATCATGAATGTATTAAATATCTGAATGTATACATAGACAAAAATAAAAAGTCTTGTAAGCATATAACACTATGAGTTATGTGTTGCAAAGCAAAACAAATATGCTGGCATCTTTTGAGAGTATTCTAAAGTTTCTCCCCTACATAGAACTTACATATCTGAAAACTAAGTATATCATATCCATTATTATTACTATTTTCAACATGAAAAATAGCACTGGTATTCTCTTCAGTTGTGTGCTAAAATTATTGTTTTTATTTGGGGGATTGTAAGAATATTTATAAAGATATTTTATGGGTTCACCCATATCACCAGTGTCCCAGACATATTTTTCCATAAGGTCTTAAATTAGTTAGCAGCAAAGTATCCTACTAGGAGTATAAGTTTCATGCTGGGATGGAGTGTTATAAACACAAAATTGTACATAATCATGGCTTTTCTTTCACTGGCCTATCAGTTCCAAGTTCACGGTGTTAAACATGAAAATGTCCTTTAAATTCAATGTTAGCATTTTACCATCTATAACTACATAGTCTATGTTTGAGCACAAAGAAATTAGACTTGGAAAATAAGAACAAACTCAGTGTCAGGGTGCATTACCACCTACTTGGGCCCTAAGCCTTTTTGCCTTCCCATACCCCTGCCTCCTACAAAAAAGGTAAATTGATAAAAGTATATTTTATAATAGTATTGCTACAAAGATGAATACATTAATATCACACATTCAATTTTTCTTTTTACCTCAAAGTTCGTTTTTTCTTCTGCTAACAGAAACAGAAACATTCTGTAGGCCCCAAAAAGTGCTGTGTAACCTAGACACTGTGCCTACTACACTAATAAATAGGTAGGCACTGCTCGGTACCCCAGAATAATGTAAGTTCTCGCCTCTAGAGACAGCGTGGGATCACCCCTGAGTTCAGTACTTCTCAAATCTCTTTACACACTAAAACCATCTGGAAAAGTTTCAAGAAATACAGTATACTCATACCTGGACCCCACCCCAGAGAATGATTAGTATTCTGTGGGTTCTCAGAGAATCTATATTTTCAAAACCTTTCCAGGTGATTATAATATACAGCCCAAGGTTAAGATCCCTGTCCTATAGGTTTTTTTCAATACTCAGGACCCAATTCTCTAGAGAGTGACTTACATATATAAAGCACTCCAAAAATGTAAGATAAGAAGGAGGAAAAGTAAGAAGAGGAAGGGGAAGAGGAGAAGGAGCAGGAGGAAGAAGGGAAGGAAGAAGGTGGCAACAACCAAGACTAATGGGCAGGTGAAGTGTTTAAGCTTTGATCTTTCTCATATGCAAAGCACTACCTTAATCTTAACTCTATCACCAGGTTCTTTTATAAAGCAGTAAACAACTCTTCATTTTCACTGTAATTTCATTTGTGCTCAGGTGTAGGAGGGATTAAATCATATTTTCTGATGTATTTTTATACCAACACAGACACATACTTCCTCTCTGAAGATCTGAGAGCACTGACTCTAACAAAGTCGGGCCCACTGACTAATGTGGCAGGGTGCGTAGATTTATCCCCAACCAACATAAAAGTTAACAAGCTGAAGACCATTGGTGGAATGTCGATGCATGTGGAAAATTCATTAACTGCCTACGTGAAGACGGGAATCTTTAGAACTGGGGATCAGCTCTAAATTGGGGGGATCAAGTAGAATTAAGATTAAATTTACGTATCTTGAAAAAAGTGAAAGGACCTAAAATTCCACAACCAAGCCAGATTTTGAGTGGAGCAAATCATATGAGTCTTGGAGTACAACTGGAAAAACAATATTCTTGTGCTTACTTGCTGTTTCTGTTGGGTCTATCTTGGGAGAGCTAAGAGCACATATTGCAAGTATGTACACTGAGTATCTGTGACCTGACAGAAAGTAGTTTTATATCAGAATCAGGCTTATGAATTAGGAATTACTTACAGAGAAATCAATAATAATCCCAAAGCAAAGTAAAAATAATAATAATAGTCAGATGGGAAGAAATATATTAATAAAAATTTCTCAAAATTAAAAAAATGATGAAATGTCAAGGGGAAAGTTTCATCTTGCCCCTTGACATAGTAAAAAAAAATGACCCTAAGTGATTCAGGGTGCTAAGGTGGACGATCTTCCTCTCTATGGCCCACTTCCTCTTGTTCTTGCTCTGCTGTGTAACAGAGAAAAGAAAAACTCAGAATAGGATATAGTTAAAATCCAAAAGGAATCATGACTATAAAAAACAACAGTCACAGAAACAATCTCCTCTGCTTCATCCTGGTTTGTAAAAAGAAATGGACCACTTAAAGCAGAAGAGAAAGTAATTCCAAAAATCAGAGTATTTAATAATAAGCATTATTGAAAAAGAAAGTTGTATCTATGTGCTAATTGCATATAATCTTTTAAAATATTGTGATTAACATTGCTAGTTATTATTTAGTTATGTTAATGTCTTACTTTGGTTTTTAAAAATATGTCTGTACATCAAAGTATTATTCTTTCCCCAAGCTAACAGTGCTATTTAGAGCAGAAAACCCTAGCAAGTGTCTTTGGTATAAGAAAAACTCCAGAGTTCTTCAGATTCAAGAAACATTCAGATTCCAATCCTCTCCAAGCCAGATTTAATATTTACAACTAGTTGAGAAAGTAACTCCATAGCATTTCAACTCACTTTTCTCCAGCAGAGCAAACTGATGAACTTACAGATTTGAATCTATCTTTCCCTTTGTGGGGTACATGACCTCAGGATATTTTGTAAGTGCTAAATTCTCAGAATAGTTTTGGGAGCTTGATTAGCTTTTTGGTAACTTTCACACCAGTAATACAAATAATGAGGATAGAAGACATGTGAGCTGTAAAACTTTTCGCTGCCTCAGTTCTGTCCTCTTTAGTCTCAGAATAACATCTAGTCCTATGGCTTGAATAGCCACACTTTAAGAATGAGATTAAAGCCTACAACTCAAACCCCAATATCCCTCCAGAGTGTCAGACCCACAAATCCCACCACCATTTAGACATCTCCACTAGGATTTCCTATCAGGCTCCTCAAACTTAAGATGTCTAAAATTGAACCCATGATCATTGCCCCCAAACCTTCTCTTTCTCCTCCTATTGTGCCACTTTATTAACCAAAAGAACCATCAACCCAGTTGTCTAAACTCAAAACATAGAGTTATCCTTGGCTCAGTCCCCACTCCATACCCTAATCTATCAACAAATGTGTTGACTTTAGCCTGCATCTGCAATCTGCCCACTTCTGCTGCCACTACCTTGCCTAATATCATGGTCATTCTAGCTAAATTACTGCTAAGACTCTCTGACAGGTTTTCCTATTTACCCATTCTCCAGACAGCTACTAGGTCAAGCAGGGGTTTTTGGTCATTTTGTGCCTTCAATCCTTTCGGCAATATGGTAAAAGCTGTAAGTCTCTTCTTGGACTAATATTTAAAATTAATAAAATACAAATATGAAGACAAAAGAAACCAATTAGAACTAATCTCCCTTTGAGAGATTTTTCTGAGGTATAAATGTGACCATGTCATTTCCCACATTAGATACCAACCACCACCATCTCACTATACAGCACACTAATCTTTCTTCTTCACCTGAATTCAACCATACTGAAGTCATACTCAAAGACCTCATACTATCGTATCTCTGAGCCTTTGCATATGCTGGCCTCCTTGGTAGAAATGACCTCTATGCCTTCTTTGCCTGCCTAACTCTTATGTTTTCCCTTTAAGATTCACTCAACTCAAATATCACCTCCCTCAAGTTGCCTTCCCTAGAGCCCCAAGTCTGAGCAAATGCTCCTAATGTGGGCTCCCACTGCACTCTGTCATAGTACTTTTCACATTCCACGATCAGTTTCCACTGCTGGACATTTAGCTCCTTAATAACAGGGCCCATTTCTTATTTATCTTTATATCCTTTGCAGCGTGCCAAGCACAGAACAACCTCTCAGTAAGTGTTTGCTGCATACATAAATGAAGGAAAATGTGAACTCCCTATCTCAAAGGAAACTCCACACTCTACAGACACCACCTGGTATGTCACAAACTAACTACATTCCCATTACAATAGTTGGAATGAAAAAAAAGATGTATTTGGTATTTCTGTGTTTCTACAAGAGAAAAATAAATTATCAACTGTTTATAAAATAATAGACATATCTGTATGAATCATTTTGGGGGGGAAATATGCACCAACACAGACCATCTTGGAAAGCAAAGTTAGTCTCATACTTACTTCAGCTAATCTTGAGTGTTTGTGGACCACCTCTGTTTTATTCATTGGTGTGAGCTGCTGCAAAACACTTCGGCTATTTGTCAAAGCCCGTGTCAATCGGGCAAATTTCGTCCAACCTAAAAAATAAGGAAAGAAAGTCTCAGTTCATACACAATGAATAAGGAATTCAACATTCTTGCTAATATTGAAGGAATCTCAGCAATCATTGACATCCACAACACATGCAAAGTATCAAACTAAAGCATTTTCTTTCTACATAGACATCATTATATATTTGAAATGTGACTATAAAACACTGAGCAACTCTTGCATGTAACATTTGTGATTTGCTCAAATATATTATATAATTCTTGTAGCCAAGGCAACTAGATGGCACAAAATTCTGTGGTCCCCTTGTATCGTATGGGTTTCTTACTGGGAAACAGCTGCCCAGCCGGGAATACATTTCCCACCATTCCTTGTATCTAGGTGTGGTCCCTGTTCCTAGTTCTCACCAACGGAATGTAAGCAGAAATGATGTGCATTAATAACTTCTACTCCACAACTTAAAAAGCAAGCACGACCTCTCCACATTTTCTCCCTCTTTCTACCAGCTGGATGCAAATGACAATAAGGCCCTAGGGGATAGCAGAGCCACTGAATCACTGTATGGAAAAATTGCCATATGCCAGGCAGGATCACTTGCCTTGGACTGTTGTATGAGCAGGAAATGTGCTTCTATTATATGAAACCATTGAGAGTTAGGGGTTTGTTATGCAGCTAGTATTACCCTAATAAAAACAGTCCTACTATGTATTTGTGTGCAGATATACAGACCTAAGAGAATAAAAACAAATTTCAACAAATCGTAGCATGTCATGGCTCATATCACACACTTCCATCTTTCTTGTAACATAGCAAAATGTTGTTTCTTTCATTAACAACTGAAAAGAGATCTAAAAATTATTTTTGGAATATCAAGAATTGTTAATAATGTTTTCTGAAAGAGCAGTAACTTCTGGGAGAAAAATGTGAATTTAATAGGAAGGAAATTTCTTCTGGGGCCTCAACTTGGCATTATTAAAATCATTAATTTCAAGGAAATGGCAATGAGATGTGAACAAACAGAACAAAACAAACCATACTCTGGTCCTGTCTCAATTGTCATTTATCTAGGCATCTCAAAAGCTCTGATCCATTAAAAATTTTATTAAATGCAATTTGATAACTTCTACAGTATTACTCTTTACTAGGGCATTTACCAAATAACTCCTTAAACATGAAAAACTGATGATCCAAGGAATGACTCTAATGGCATTGATGAAATTTAGACAATGTGTCAAAAGATGAAGGAAGATGGCCTAGGCATACACCAGCCTAATATCTGTCAAACCATACAATTCAGGTGACATCATATTCTGCTACTATTCTTCAGACTAATTCTGATTTCACTTAAACTTTTATTGCCTCAACAATTCTGCTCCCTCTATGTATTCAATAACTGGATTGGAAATGGAATGTCATTATTTTTTCTTCATTAATGGACCTCATCCTAGTGACTGGAACAAAAACAAATGTTAGGTTTTGGGAACTGTATGCAACCCTAAGGATTACCTTGTGCGATGTCCTAGGGAAGCAAAAAGGCACCAGATATGCCACCAACTCTCTAAAAAGTCAACATCGATGTAAAAAAACAACATGCAATCTCTATGACAAACCTAGACATTTCTTCTGTGTGCCTGACCTATGTGTCTAATCAGCCACTGGCCACCTCTTACTAAGATGTTCTACAGGTATCTTACACACATCACGTTGAAAATTGATTTCATCATCTTCTTCTCCCCTCATCACCAACCCTGCATCATTCATGCACTCCTGGTATTGATGAGTGGGCCCCATGATAGTTCTAACTGGTCAAATCAGAAACTTGAAATTTACCATCCTCCTTTCACTATTACCTATACACACACACCACACACACACGCGCGCGGTCACACACACACACACACACACACACACACACACACATATCTAATCACTCTCAAGCCTTAGAGATTATGTCATGATTAAATATCTCTCAAATTGAATCTCCTTTCTACATCCCTATTATATCAGACAACATATCATCTTTTACCTGAATTAGGTGACAGCATCCTAAAGCCACACTCACATTGCTAGCAAACTTCTTTCTAAAGCACAAATCTGACAATGGTTTTCCCTCCCTTACCCTTCAACAGCAACACAGAGGCCTCCAGAATAATATGATCTTTGGCATATAGGTCATTTTGTTTCTGACCACAAAGTTTTGTTCTATATTTCAATCTTATTAAAACCAACCACAAAATTAAATAAAGAATAAAATCAAAATGAAAATTAAGTCTATTAGGAATTCTTTGTACACCCTATAATGTTCTACGTTTCCATATTTTCACGTTATAATCATTCTGCCCACCTGGAATGCCTTTTCTCTCCCCCATCTGTCTGGCTAACACTTACTGGTATCTGCAGACCCAGTTATATTACCTCATTACCTCTTTCGGGAGGCTTCTATGACCCACACCACAGGAGAGATGCTTTTACACCACAGGATGCATACCTCATATGTCAATAACAACACTGATGCAACTGCTGATTAATATAATAGTCACTCTTGCTAAGCCATTGTTCATCTCTCCATTCCCAGCACTTGGTACGTGGCCTGCATAAATAGGCCATAAAGAAATAAAGATCCTATATTTGTAACTTTAAAAATCAGAGCTTAAGACGGGCTCGGTGGCTCAGCCTGTAATCCCGCGCCTTTGGGAGGCTGAGGTGAGTGGATTGCCTGAGTCCATGGGTTCGAGACCCGCCTGGGCAGGCGAGACCTCATCTCTACAATAAAATTTTTTTTAAAAATTAGCCGGGCATGGTAGCGCATGCCTGTAATTCCAGCTACTCGGAAGGCTGAGGCAGAAGGATCGCCGGAGCCCAGCAGGTCGAGGCTGCGGTGGCCGGGAGCGGCCACTGCACTCCAATCTGGGCGACAGAGTGAGACTCCAACTCAGGAAAAAAAAAAAAAACAAAATCAGAGCTTAAAAATAAAGCTCATTTTGTTTTTCTACCATCGGGTTTTGATTTGATTGTTTCTTGTCAGATGAAAATGTTGAGAGTGTCTTTGCAATAACTGTATTAGCCATAGGTATATTCAATTGCTACCTGTTAATAATTTCCCCATCTTACATCAGTGACATATTATAATTTCATTGACTATTTCTAGGAACTCCCAAGTCAATCTTCTACTTGCTGACGGTTCATGTTTTTAAATAGTAATGTGTGTCTCTTTGTACATCTGAGTTAAATTTAAAAAGAAGTCCATTTTTATTTCCTGTGAGAAATAAGGTTTATCTAGAAAATATCAGGGGTGCCAAAAAAAGTATGCACATTTTAAGCAATGTTATCTATATATTACTTTTCCAAGTTGAATTGAATTATGGTAGCAATTATGGTAGTATGATATTCACACAAAAGATGATATTTATCAAATGAATGCTAGCATCACCATGTGACAAGCAGGACAGTCAAAGAAAATGGTGGAAGCACAGTTGTCATTCAAGGAGTGCCAAACCATTTTGAAATGGCATTTGAAATTCGAGAATGTTGTGGAAATATATCAATGGAGGCGTGAATATGTAACAGAACCTCCAAATTGCCTAACAGTTGCACACATTAATGATAAGTTTGAGAGGCATGGTACTGTGTGTGATGTACACAAGGGAAGATCTAGGAGGCCTCACACAGCGACAAGTCCTGCTTCTTCTCCTAGATTGTTGGAACAGTTTACACTCTTGCTACAGAAATCTATCAAACAATGGTCGAGTGTACCTAGACATGCTACACACATACATTTTACCTGCAATTTGCACACTTTTGGGGAATGATCGATTTTACTTGCAACAAAACGGTCTCCCACTGCACTTCCACCAAGATGTGAGAGGTTACCTTGATGAGAATTTGCCAAGACAATGAGCAAGACAAAGAAGTACAGTTGAGTTTCCCCCACATTCTCCTGACTTAACATTCCTTGACTTCTATCTATGGGGGAATCTTAAAGGATGTGGTGTACTGTAGAAAACTGGCCACATTGGTGGTACTTCAGGAAGAAATTGAAATGACATGTGCAGCTATACACGTGGACACTTTGGTCAACGTTACTCAAGTAGTATTTTGCCATAATCAGAAGTATCTAGATGCTGATAGTAACCACTTGAGCACCTCTTATAATTGCAGAAATCAAAAGTGACTTGTAGCCGGGCTCAGTGGCTCAGCCTGAAATACTGCACTTTGGGAGGCTGAGGTGAGTGGATTGCCTAAGCCCGCGGGTTCAAGTCACACCTGGGCAACTTGGCAAGACCTCATCTCTACAATAAATCAAAAAATTAGCCAGGCATGGTAGCTCGCGCCTGGTAGTTCCAGCTACTTGGAAGGCTGAGGCAGAAGGATCGCCAGAGCCCAGCAGGTCGAGGCTGCAGTGGCCGAGAGCAGCCAATGCACTCCAGTCTGGGCAGAGTGAGACTCCAACTCAAAACAAAAAGTGACTTGTTATTGGTATATATTGTTATTGGTATATATTGAGAATTATAATTTAATACAGTTTTTTCCTTTCTTAAAATATGTGTACATTTTTGTCACCATTTGTATTTAAAATACACAAAAGGCACTCTGTCACCCAGGCTGGAGTGCAGTAGAAAATAAGATAAAATACATAAAAGGAGATATTGAAGGAATAAATTAAATGATACATGAAAGAATACAAATCAACAAACGGCATATATTGTTTTATTTCACAGTATCGTCCATGAAAGTAAATGTATAAAAAAGGAGAAATATGGCAATAAAAGCCCACTGTTATCCTCTGGTCTTCTATTTGAAGCACTATGTGCACATACTACTGTGTTCCTTAATGAGTAAGCAATAGTTTCTAATAAATACAAAGAGAAAGCTTATTCAAGTGTCTGTGTTTTTGTGTATCTTATTTTATACATGAAGTCAGTATGACCAAGGAATATTTTACTCCCTTATTGTACCTTATTTTAGTTTCCTAAAGGAAGAAATATTTTTAAAACATTTCAAAACACTGAAAATAAAACACATACATTTT